CACACTTTTTTTTCAGTACTTTTACTTTTTTTTCAGTATACCTTGTGTATTATTTTTAGCCAGTTGTTAAGTATCTCAATATCTATGTTCCTTAGTTTTCCACATTGCCTGTTGAAATGATCCTCTCAGTTGCCCTTAATTTCCACTTATTCAAGCAAATATGTTCCCTCTCTTTAGTGTTATGTGTAAAAGTGATGTATCCTTCCCTGTTACAATTCTACAGATATGAGGAAGATATCTGTTTTTATGTTGTTGCTTTGAAGTTTGTCAGTGACTCTTCTAGGACAGGAGTTATGCTTGAGTGTTATTTTAGTATTACTATTAAAGTATTTATTCAAATTATAGCTTTTTACATTTTCAGTTCCCATCTTAATTTTAGTTTGAGTGATTTTTATGATGTGCTTTTTGTTTCTATTTAGATTTAATATTTTTTTTTGTTTCAGCTTTTAGAAATGTTGGTACTTAAACTTTTAGTTTGTTGCCAAGGCAACCTGTTTTTAAGTTTTGTGTAAATTTTTCATCTAATATTTATATATTTTTATTTCAGCTTTAAATCAATTAATTAACCTGATTTGTGAAATAAATTAGGCAGGTGTGCAAAACATACAGCACTCATAATACCGGTATTATCATAAGTATTACATTCAATTTGACAAACAAAAGTTCTAAAAAATGTCTTGACGGCATATATTACCTCTTCACTCAGGACTCTAGAGAATTAATCTGACGTGACATTAGGTCAAAACATTTTATTTTGTACCTATATGTCTTGAGTGGGTTTCTTAGTGTGTGCCAGTCAAGCACACGGAAGGTTACACCTCTAAAATAGTAGAGGCACTGCTGAGCACATCTGGAATTTCCCCTTTTCAAACAGGAAAGACAAGCTCATGACACTATAAAAGGGCCGTCTCAAACAACCTGCCCAGAGTGAGAAGAGATTTGTAGTGCTGAACACTCAGAGAGATATTTTCATAACAATTTTTACTGGAGCTTGAAGCACAAAGGGACTGCGAACAGATACAGAGTCTGTTTACCCAACGATAATTCACTGCTTTCCACAGCAATCAGGTATTGTTGAATTCATATTTAAGATGTTTAAACATTTACTTTGTGTCTGTATATTTGTATAATTTAGTTAGAGTAATCAGGGGTGAAAGTCCTTTGAAATGACTGCTAAAAATTAATAAGTCCATCAAAATCAACTTGATCTTATCATTGTTTTTATATTTTATAGGCAGTACCAAAATGGCAGAGCAACAGACCTTTTCTATTCAGAACCGTGAGCGAATCCAGGCAGTGGAGAGCACCTTTGGCCGCACTAGAAAGATGCTTCTAAAACTGGGGCGTATTCTGGTGGGAGAGGGCTGCTTGTTAAAGCTGTGCAGACGTGGACCCAAACCCAAAGTGTTCTTCCTCTTCAATGACATTTTGGTCTACGGTAGCATCATGGTGGCCGGTCGCTGGAACAATAAGCAGAAGATCATTCCTTTGGAGGATGTGCAGCTGGAAAATCTGGAAGACGGAATGGCTATGCCCAACCAATGGCTCATCCGCACACCACGCAAGTCTTTCTACGTGTCGGCGGCCTCGCCTGAGGAAAAAAACGTGTGGATGGGACACATTGAGCAGTACAAGTCCCTCCTAGTGCAAGCTAAGGGCCTCCCCACTGACAATGCTGCAGGGAACTTCGCTGCCACCTGGATCCCTGACATGGCATCAGCCATCTGCATGCGCTGTTCAAAGCGATTCAACGTTGCCAATCGGAGGCACCACTGCCGGAGGTGCGGTTATATAGTATGTAGAGCTTGCTCAAAGAGCCGGGCCTTGATGCCGAACATCTCCTCCAGGCCGGTGAGAATTTGCCGGTCCTGTGTGAGCAGCGTTCATGAGGGAAAAGAGCAAGGAAATAAGAGAGCTAAGGGTAAGCACTGGAAGAAGAACTCCGTAGAGGACACGCCAGCGCTACCTGAGTTTGAGACGTCCAGTGATGAGGAGTCCAGTGAGCAGGGGTACCAGATGCCCACCAAGTGGTTCAAGAGCCCGGAGGATGAGGATTACTCCCCATACTGCTACATAAAGCCCGAGCACAGGAATCCTCCCGTCAGTGGACTCTGAACTTGACAGATGTGAAAAAGTATTATTATGAACTATGCTCGAACTCATCATGCGTTGCACCTGTTTAAAAAACAGAAGCACAATAGCAGTAACGTAGTAGACGAATAGCAGTAATTATGTATTTTGCACAAACGTATTTGAGTCACTTTTGCGACTTCTTTTTTGCACTTGCATTTTTTTGTATTTGTATGTATGTATTTTTGAAAGTATGTATATCTAAATTCATTGTATAACAAATGTTTATATTATAGCTTATATATATATATTAAGGGAACAATGTGACTTTTGCAATCAGTACAATAAATTATCATTATTATAAAATACTTTGGTGAGTGTATTAAACACACCATTCTTTGTGACTGTACATGTTTATTTATAAACTGAAGAAAGTATTTTTGAAAGTATGTATATCTAACTTCATTGTATAACAAATGTTTATATTATAGCTTATATATATATATATTAAGGGAACAATGTGACTTTTGCAATCAGTACAATAAATTATCATTATTATAAAATACTTTGGTGAGTGTATTAAACACACCATTCTTTGTGACTGTACATGTTTATTTATAAACTGAAGAAATAATTAAAACGGTCCTAAATTCTAACAGTGTGGATTATATTAAATTTGGTATGTTCAACAGAAGCATTCTCACTTCTAAGACCTATGGCGATTAAGTTATCAAAGAAAGTATTACCAAGTTGCATGACTGATCATGTATCTTACAGTGGACCCTTTTCACAGACTGATTTCCACAATAACTAATTTAATAAAATTAATTAAATGTAATCATAAAGTTATTATTATTATAATATTTTCATTAAAAAGTAGAATGATATACATTATACTCTATATTATTATATTATGTTACCCTTGCATTAAAATCAAAACAAAATAGACACACACACACAAAAGTCTACAGAACATCCAGTTACATTTTCTGTTATATTGTAACACTAGCATGCACAGAATTAGAGATAATCTAGATTGATATTAATGGAAATAAATGGATAAAACATTAAAAAATCTTGAAAGTAGACCATGTTCTTTTTCAGGACATAATTGTAGAATTTTAATCCAGGTGACACACCTGACTGATCATGTATCTTCAATAAATCCCATCATTTACATGGTTTTGAGAGTGACTTTGGATGTGAAGAGGAAGAATTCAGTTTTGAGAGTTTGTTTGGTTTAAACTTTTATAATTTAAAGTTAAAATTTAAAGATACACTACTAAGTGCTTGAACATTTTTTTTCAAAATTCTGTTTTTTACAGATTTAAAAACTAAAGGGCAGGGATATTGTGCACTTCAAAAGGAGTCGAAATATCATAATTGTGAGTTATAAGCACACAAATTGCCAAGCAAATCATACTTACAAGTGGAAAACTCTGAAGATAATACACAAGTCGATATATGAAACATGGTGGAAACACTTATCTATTAGTAGCTTATAATGTAATTTATCTAATATATAGAGATGTGGACTCTAGGAGGAAACCCCAGGTTCATAGAGTCATTCAGGTTCCAGGCCAGTTGCACAAACATAGACACTATGTTAAGACTGTGTCTTAAAAACTAGTTTGACCAACTAGCAGTTAGCCAAGGGGTAATCAGTCTTACTTTTTGGATTCACATTAGACCAATCTACCTTTTTGTAACTGACTTTAAACTAACTAACTGACTAAAAAAGTCTTGAAGAAAAGAAATTAGATAACTAACTTTTTAAAGGGGTCATATGATGTTGCTAAAAACAAAAGAACATTATTTTGTGTATTTGGTGTAATGAAATGTGTTTATGCGGTTTAAGGTTCTAAAAACATTATTTTCCACATACTGTACATTATTGTTGCTCCTCTATGCCCCGCCTTTCTGAAACGCGTCGATTTTTACAAAGCTCATCGGTCTGAAAAGCGAGGTGTGCTCTGATTGGCCAGCTATCCAGTGCGTTGTGATTGGCC